CTCTCCTTCCACCCGCCCCCATCCTGTGCTTCCTCTCGTACCCTTTCGTTGTCGTCTCTCTCTTTCTCCCGTTTTATCTCCCTTCCTTTCCCTCTCTGTCTTTTTATCCTTTCCGACAGAACACTCGGTGTCTTTTCTCGACATCGTCTCCTCGTTATCGCCGCCACGAACGGCAATTTCGTCGTTATTATTAGGACCGCCCGAGGCCGGGCGGGGGTGGTCGTGAAGAGGAACCGTATGTTTACCCTCTCCAGAAGCCACTCGAGCAGCCGAGAAGCTCGTGCCATGAGAGTTTGTAACTCCGCTCGACTGGCTCCTGCCGGCGAGCAGCAGCGATCTTTTCGGGGAAGGGAATAATCTAATGTAGAGACGCGACTGATTTAAGAGCGCTCGGATGGAATAACGTCCCTCGATCGGCCGCGTCGGAATTTCGTGTTTCGAAACCGCGGATCGTTCACGACGAGTCGACACGATTTATATATCCGTAAGTCAGCCTGTTGAGGAACAAGAAAAAGAAAAAGAAGAAGAAGAAGAAAAGAAATAGTAATTTTCTCGCAGCTACGAGCAGTCGATGTCTTCTCACGACACATTCGTCTCTCCTGCTGCTATACGTCTCTCTCTCTCTCTCTCTCTCTCTCTCTCCCCCCTCTCTCTCTCTCTCTCTCTCTCTCTCTCTCTCTCTCTCTCTACCACTGTCCCATTTCGCTCTACGCATTCATCAGATTCAGCTGTGCGCGCGGCCGGTATTACAAAAGTCTCGGTTATATCGTTCTAAATTGCGCAGCGCGCACGCGCGCTCTACCAGATAACATGCAAGTTAAGTAGTAACGTCCTACGTTGGCAGAGCTAACGCGCGTCGCATAACACGGCTCATCACCTGGCTACGGCGTCACATACGAGTTGGATCCGCGATAGGATCGCGGTGTATTCGGCCTCAGAATCGCCACCGAACCTGATCGTTCCGCGTGGGTGGCCTTTCCACCTCCAGCAGCGCACGAGTCCTTCCACCACCATCAGCCGTGGATGTTGAAGTGCGGTGGTGTATTCGCGCAGGCCTCTCTTCTCCTTGCATGATGAATGACCCTCGCGTACCTCCCTCCCATGCGACTTGCACCCTGTTGCGACGCGACTCTCCGCATCCACCTTCGGCCGGCGCGTTCGTCCGCCCTCTCCACCCCCTCTCTTACGCTCTGCCTCCCTCTCTTCCTCCCACCATTCCATCTTGATATTCCTTCCCCTCCTTCGTCTCCCCGTCATCGAGCAGCCAAGCTCCGGTGGGTTTTGGCTCGCCTCCTCCTCCTCCTCCTCCTCCTTCTACTCCTCCTTCTCCTCCTCCTCCTCCTCCTCCTCCTCCTTCTCCTCTTCCACCTCCTGATCCTGCTCCTCCTCCTTCTCCTCTTCTATCTTGCTGCCAGCTCGCTCGCCCGCTCGCTCGTTTTACTTCTCGTTTATTTTTCCCACCCGCGGACCGTCGAGATGCAATTTGCATCCGAGCTGCTGTTGCCGCCGTCCCAGCCGGTCGCCGCGAGCAACAACCGGCGTAGAAGCGAGCAACTCACACACCGGAGGAAATTTGTTGTCAGCGAGAAGGAAATTTCACTAATTTGATCGAGATTGGAATCTCCAGCCGATACGAATCCCAGCCTGTTACCTCCGCGCTTCGCGATCGGAATTGATAAGTTCGCGGAGCGAGACAGCAAAAACGCCAGCGTGTTGTCCGTGCGCGCTAAGAGACTCGATAGCGAGAGCGGATAACCATTATTAGGAGCGAGTGAGCTGTAGCGATATCGCCGTGCTGTGCGTAGCATCGATAATGATGGATCGACTTATTCCGATTGAGAGGCGGTAGATTATAGACCTCCAACGCGACCAATAACAGAGACCGACTTATTCGAACAATGTACGGAGATAAAATCGCAGTGGGTCATTTGAATGACGAGAATATGATCTCACGGTGACTCCGTCACGTTGATTTCGCCATTCGCACGTGACGTGACGCTACCCGTTTACGTCACCATGGGCTCGCACCACGGGTGCGAGATCAGCCTGCAACAAATCCACATACAATGTAGCTACGTGGTCATAATACGCGTTTAACAGCGCGCCTTAAGTAGACCCACACGACTTTTCGAGCGCGACCGTACGCAGTTAAGTGGATACAGTCGTAGTCCGTTGAATGGCGAACTTCACCACGCTTGACGACTGTGAAAGGCGACGGTGACATGACCGTAGCCGCCTTGAAAAACACTGGGGAATAATGCCCCGGGGCGAAGCCAGAGAGAAGAGACGGAGAAGGGGAGGAGAGAGGCGGGAAGGAGAGGGGAAAACTGTTCCAGGGAACGGTCTCGTTTCTGCGGTTCACGACTTGACGACTTGCGCGAGCCAGCTCCTTTCCTTCCAACTACCTGAAGGCGACCCGTGGCTGGCAGAGAGGCTGATGGGGGACGAAAGCCGAGAGCTTCATATTTTATGCTTTAGGGGGGCCTTTTATCCGCTCGAC